CCAGCGCGAACGCTGGTGCTGGGCCAGTCCGTTCACCTATCCAAAAAGTGGGAGGATATCACTCCTTACAGAGTGCATGTGGGCCCACCCGTGAGGCAGTTATTTCCTATTCTTTATCTACGTCGTCGATGGAAATACGAGTTAAAATGATAATACTTGTTTCCTTGTCTGTTCTGCCTAGTGCTCATGACCGGAATGAGCGGCACTTCGGGGAAATGACTGCTTCCGGACCATGCAATGTGAGAAGCTGAATGGAGACGGCCCTTTGGGGCCAATAGCCCGAATGAAGGGTGGGCTATGTCCAACCAAATATGCGCTAGAGCATGGTTTGGAAATACGAGAGGCTAGGGAAAAGACGGTAAGCGCTGATTAGCGCAAGCTATCGTGATGAGAGCTAAAGCAAAAATTGGCACGCCTGAAGAACAGTAGCGCGACGAGCTATCTGATAGTCAAAAACTCGTAAGTGCGTTTATCGGTACCACAAAGGCAAGGAAGTTGTGGAGGCAAGCAAAGGACCCCCCGTCCTAAGGATGCCGGCGGGGGAACGCATTTGAGCTGAGTGTAAAAGGCGACAACACAACAGGGCACTAGTGTGAACAAGGTAGGTTCTGCGATGTAAAACGCTCTCAACACTCGTTAAGAGAATACAATTGTCGAGGTGGAGAAAATGGTCTGGGGCAGCCGGATGAGTGGCGGATAACCGAAGCATCAATGGGCCCCCACAGGAGGCGGGATACGGGTGAGTACAAACATTGTGGTTCTGGGATGCCTCGGTCTGTAGGGCGACAGGAAAGTGCGTCTCTTAAGCTTCGACGCACTGCTTGCAGTCCGTTGGTGAGGGGTGGCGGGCAGCAGGCTAGGTACTAGTGTGGCGCTGGTGGCCCACCACGGTGACCGGTGCGGCGGGTGTTGGCTTGTGAGTGAAGTCAAGGTTACAGTTTCAAGGATTAACTGAGAAGCCGGATTAGACGTATCTAGAATTCTGATGGTCTCTGTGGAGGTAATTTATTTTCAAGTTGCGGTGATCGAGACGAATACGCGACACAGTAACTTTGGGATCGTCGCTCCGTAGTGACCGCCGTCGAATGCTTAGAACTAATGCCTGGTAGTGGGGCTGCAGCCTTCTGCTAAGGCGATTATCCTAAAGTCTTCCCAACCTTTGTCCCAGAGCAGTCCTACCTAGCTAGGGAATTTGGTCCAAATAACATGGTAATTGTTCCAGTACTTTATTGCCACAACTAAACGTGGAAATCTTCTCTAGGGGGCCTGTTGTGCTTTGGCTCAGCGCACCTGTCCCCGCAGCAGACCGTCGTGCTAAGCCGGCGAGCTACTAAAGTGCCAGTACCGGTGGGATCTCTAGAAACTGAGGCGGAAGGTCCCTAGGGTTGTGTGGCTTCAATTATTTGATCCTGCTTTGAGCTCGGTTTTTCGTTCCAGGTCTAGATTACCGAGAAAGAGCCCAACCGAGGCGGCCCTGCACCCTCCATCCATGCTTCAATGCGCAAACACACTACACAGTTCTAGCCGTAAGCTCGCCCCACTGATTGTGTGTTAGAGGCATGCTAGCACGACTGCTTACACGCTTGACTGCCTTTTACACGATATTTTCCTGCAAACACTTTTCTGAAGAGAATTTAATAGCCATGTTGTGCTGCCCCGTTTTAGAATATTCGCACTTCTATGGCGAATTGCAGGATAACCTATTGTTGACAGGCGCAACGATTCGCCAGACGTAAGGGTGGAACGCCTGTTGGTCGGCGCCTGTTGGCTGCCTAGAGGCAGCCAATGGGCACCGTCCAACAGCTGGTACTTCCACGCCCATCTCCTTCAACTGGATTTCGATGCCATGGTTTTTGAGCCAATATGTAGTACTCTAGTCAATCAATAAGCTATTTAAGGCATTCGGACACAAAAGCGTTCTGCTGCTGACAATTTTCGAGACCACTTTGAATTCAGTATTGTAACGGCTCATTGCCGTGCAAACTTTTTCAGGCATCTCTGTGCTCAATCAATATAGCACAATATCACCCCAGAAATATCAGCCGGTGTAAGCATGTCGGACCTTGAAAGCCCAGTGTGCAGATTAACAATTCCCTACAGTGCTTTTGCACGCTAATGAAAATGGCTCGTTTGAGCCTGCAGGTGGTGCCCACTGTGGAAAAGAGGTTGAACCGGAGGGCGCTGTAACTCTTTTCTTGCTGCCTCCTTTCCAAACTACCCCAAGAGCCTGTGCCTATGTGGACCCTCAGGTAGGGGTGCTGCGTTTAGAAATATTTCCATAAAGTATTTTGACGCTACTGCTGCTTACAACAGGTCTATGGTAAAGGCACGCTTGTCACACTGCTCTGTAGAAGAAGCTAGCTGCTTGCAAGGAGCCGAGCGCCGTGCTCGGAACTCCTTGGGTCTGGGCGGGAAGCAATTTTTATTCGGAGGGCATGTTGCATGAGGGCCTACACGATATTACACCTCACACCTATCCAGAACTGGCTTTGCGGAGACTCGTTACAATACACATGATAATCTACATGGACCACTGCGTGCACTTCACATCCGTGGAACCATCAACATGTAAGTAAGCCTTTCAATTTGCACTCTACCTCCACACATTTCCTCGAAAATTCAATGCTCTCCATTGTACACCTGGATGCTGGGTGCGCTGCTAAGCTATTTTGTATAGTAGCTGTATTGGCACTCTCCAGCACGCAGTACAACAGCGTGCGCCGTAACCCAAAGACTTCCCCCAACTCCCCACGAAGCCAAGCAGGGCTGCTTGGAAAACCTTGTGGCAATGCTGACAGCAGCGTTTGGAAATGTTTTAATTGTTCATATAATGCAACAATTAGTAAGTAAAGTCCTGTCCCCTCATCCCCACGACGCTCGTGTGGGTTCCCTACGGTGCCTAGCTCTCAAGAACAGCCGCAAGGCGATGCAAGAGTTGCACAACGCGCTACTTTTGCACTTTACGTGCGTTAATAAATTATTTAGTTATGACCCAAAAAGTAGCAGCAGGGAAGACGGTGTTTCCTCTCTAAAAAACAGTTGCTTTGCCGGGAGCAGCAGGGCCTGCGGCTGTCAGCTAGTAGTATGGCTGCTTTCTCTGGCCTATGATCTCGTGGACAAGAACCTTGTATATACACTGTAGATGTAAACTGCGTTGAAAAGGAGAAGGAAGCGATTATTCAAAACATTAAACCGATGCCGGTTGCCTCCCCCGCTGCGTGGGCACGGGTCCTGGCTATCGTTGGGGCACACAGCCGCAAAAGCTGCAGCAGCAGGTCTGCTTTTGCATATGAATTTGCGGAAATAAAAAGAAGAAGTGAATTAAAGAAATGAATATTTGGACGGATTCGAGCTGTAGAGCATATGTGCAACTAGCAGCAGCAGCAGCAGCAGCAGCAGCCAGGCGAGGGTGCTTGCTGCTGCAAGCAGCAGCAGCCGCAGGCTAGGGGCCCAAGGCGGGGCGTGGCGGCGCAGTCTGCTGCTGTTTCGGGGGCTTCTTTGTCTCCTCTACGCAATTCTCCTTTCGAATCCCGCAGTGTACATGCAGCAGACAGGGGGAGATACAGGAGAGTCTTTTATAATTAGCAGCGGCGGCCCCAGCCACGGCCGGGTGGCAATCGGCACGCGCAGCCGCAGCAGCAGCAACAGCAGCAGCAGCAGCAGCACGGGAGGTTCTCGCTGCGTGCAGCAACGGAGTGCTGCAGTAAAAGCCTTGATTCGTTAGAACGTTTTTGCCTCTTTATTCCTTTTCTGCTGCTCTTGCTGCCTTTTAAGGGAGGAGAGGGGCCTGCTAGTGCGTACAACCGCCGTGCTGTCTGTTGTCATTGGGGTTTCTGTTCGCTGCTGCTGCTGAACCACAGGAGCTGCCGCTGCTGTTTGTGTGTGCTCTAGAGCCCCTATTCTTCTCTCTTGCTGCTGCAGCTTAACCATGCTGCTGCTTACTGGCAGCGGCGTCCTTACCCGAACCCAGCAGCAGCACACAGCACGCTCCAAGCCGCGCCTTCCCTTGCAGCAACAGCAGCAGCAGCAGCACCAGCAGCAGCAGTAGCCATAACTGCTCCCTTATTCCCCTCCCTTTCAAGCAATTACATCAACTGGTCAACCGTTACACTTCCTTCCCCTCCGCTACCTCCCAGTGTACGTACACGTCAACAGCCTGCACAGGAAGCCAGCAGCTACAGCAGCTCGGGACTCCTCCTCATTTCATTTCAGCTTCCAAAACGCATGCATGCATTTTCACAGCGCAGCCAGGTGGCACTCAACTGACAGCGGGCGCCTCTGTCTCTTTTGCTGCTGCGGGCCTTGGCAGAAAGAACTCGCGCTGCTAGAGGCGCCGAATCCCCCGCTTCTGCTGCTGTTGATACTGTTGCGGCAGCTGTTTGCTGAGCTGGTGAAGCAGCGAAGGCACCCTCCTAGAGAGCAGCACGGACAGCGCTGCATATACAGCGCATGCTTCGCTCTGTAATTTGTTTCCATCATCATCAGGTGGTGCGGCTGGCGCTGTTCCTTTCCTTTTGATTTGTTCGATTGGAAGGAGGAGTGATTTTGTGTATTTGAGGGGCTGCAGGCTGAAGAGGGAGGCGCGTTGTTTTTGTGTGTGTGTTCGTTTGCGTGGTTTGTGTGTTGTGTCTCCCTCGTTTCGCCGCATATCATCTCTTTCTTCCCTTGTAAAGCATATCAACAGGGCGGTGCTGTTCTCTCCTTCAGCAGCTAAGATATTTCTTTTGGGTCCTGTGGAGGGGCCCTACTAGGGCGTGATTGCTGCTGTTTGCTTTCCTCTAGCGACAGCGCGAGTGTGTTTGCTGCTGCTAGTTCTGCTGCTGCTGGTGCTGGTGGTGGTGGACGGTAGGCTGCGTTTTCGGTTGGCTATAGTCTGCGTGTGAGGCGCGAGGATAAGGAAGGACAGGAAAAGCGGTGCAGCAGCACGTGCAGCAGCAGCAGGCGCAGCAGCAACAGCAGCGGCAGCAACAGCAGGAGGAAGAACAGCAGCAGCAGCAGCAATGGCAGCGACAACCGACATCGACGTGGATGCGGTGATCAGCAAACTGCTGGAGGTGCGGGGGAGCCGGCCGGGGAAGCCTGTGCAGCTATCCGAAGCAGAAATTAGAGGGTTATGCCAAAAGAGCAGAGAAATATTTATAGCTCAGCCGATCTTGCTGGAGTTAGAGGCCCCTATAAAGATCTGCGGGGACATCCACGGGCAGTACTACGACTTGCTGAGGCTCTTTGAATATGGAGGCTTTCCCCCTGAAGCTAATTACCTCTTTTTAGGGGACTATGTTGATAGAGGCAAACAAAGCCTGGAAACAATCTGTCTCCTCCTCGCATATAAGATCAAATACCCCGAAAACTTCTTCCTCCTCAGAGGCAACCATGAATGCGCATCCATCAACCGCATTTACGGTTTCTATGATGAATGTAAGACAATTGCAGAAATTGAGTTTAAAACTGAAGTTGTAATTAAAATCTAAGTTAGACCGGCAATGGAAATGCGAATTCAAGTTTAAATTCAATTTCAAATTGAAGTAATTCAAGTTCAGTTGCAAGTTGAAGTGCAAACGAAGATTAAAGTTAAAATGCATAATCAGGAATTCTACGTGGCATAATATTAAATCCTGAATTGTAAATTAGAATGCGAATTCTAGTTCAAACAGAAATTCTGTTGCAACTGGAAATACAACTTTTCGTTCCAGCGGGCAAACTAACGAACAGAGCGAGCGAGCGAGAGAGAGAGAGAGAGAGATAGAGAGAGAGAGAGACTGGGAGAGAGAGGGAAAGAGACAGATAGAGAAAGAGGAAGAGAGAGAGGGGGGGTGTTTAGGTTTTATAGGGCGTGTATAGGATGTGCGTATTTCTTTGCATTGTTTGCCTTTTGTGATTGAAGAGAGAAGCGGTGTCGTCTGTCGTCTGTCTATAGGCTTGTGACGGTGGAAATAGGGGGAGGGGCTGCAACTCTTTCTGTTTCTTTCATTGTGTTTCTTGGTGTCTGATCTTGTTCGTCTACGTCTTTTTTGGTTTAGTCTTATAGAACACCGCGTGGTGGGGGTTCAGCTTCTTTCTCTTGCTCGGTTTCATCCTCATCTTTTCTTAGGAGTTTCTTTTTCCTTGTCCGTGCTTGAGAACCGCGGGGGGTTGGTATGGTACTGCTGTCTTCAGTATATGCTGCAGCGAATGCTCAGTTGGGGTTTAGGGTTTAGGGCTTAAGGTTTATTGCTGATTGGCACTGGGCGGAGCTGTGTGCACACCTGAGTCGGGTTCGATTGCCTTCCTTTCCTTTGTCTCCTGCGTGCTCTAAATGGAGCATTTGTCTTGACCTAATTTCGCTCCAAATGCGTCCTGCGGTGGCTGCTTGCTGCTTTTAGATATGCATGCATGCATATCTGCGTCTGCATGCATAGCGTGTGCAGGCACCTGGTTTCATGGGACTTATAAAAACCCTCCCTCTCGTTTTTACTTTTTTGGGTTTTGTTTGCAGGCAAGCGGCGGTACAACGTGAAGCTTTGGAAGACGTTTACAGATTGCTTCAACTGTCTGCCTGTTGCAGCAATCATAGACGAAAAGATCTTATGCATGCACGGGGGCCTCTCTCCCGAGTTGAATTCGATGGACCAAGTGAGAAGAATTGCGAGGCCTACCGATGTACCCGATACAGGTCAGCAGAAGCTCCTCTCTGGCTTGTTTTGTTCGTCTCGTTTTGCATGCTTGCTCGCTGCCGTTTTGTTTATTGTGCTCGTTGTGTCTGTCTTGTTTGTGTTTGTCCGTAAGCAGCTGGTTTTTTTTTATTGTGGATTTTTTGTTTTGTGTGTATTGGGTGTCTTTGTTTCGTTTGTTTTGTTCGTCTGTCTTCGTGTGTCTTGTCCAGTCTGTCTGCCTTTGTCTTGGCGGTCTTTTCCTTCCCCCCTTTGTTTTGTTTGTGTTTTCTGTTTGTTGATTCTTTTGTTCGTTTTGCCTGTCGTTGTTTTGATTTTTGCGTCTTTTGTCTTTGTTTTGTTGGTGTGTCAATTTTTGCTGCCTTCTTTAGGTGTTTTTATTTAGAGCATGTTCTTCTGTTTGCGTTTGATGGTGGTTGCTAGCACAGTATGCTTCATTAACGATGCTTGTTGCATGCTGCTGGCGCCTTTCTCTACTTATCTGTTCCTGTGTTGCTGTTTGTTTTTTCTTGTTTCTGTGTCCATTGTGGCAGTATGTCTGTTGAGCTTCGCGTTTATGGCTAGCTGTCTGTACACGCAAATAAGAAGTTCTGCGTCCTCACCCGTGCTCCCGTTTTGCATGCATGCCGGCGTAAAGCCCCGCGACTGACATGAGGATACACCCGAATGCTGTCTCTGTTGTCTTTGTCAAGTACATATTCTCCTGTGTCTATGGCTGCGTGTTTTTGTTCTTTTTTCAGGTTTGTTGTGCGACTTGCTCTGGTCAGACCCGGAGAAGGAAATAGCGGGCTGGGGCGAAAACGACAGAGGGGTTTCTTTCACCTTCGGACAGGACGTTGTGCACAACTTCTTGAGAAAACATGATCTAGATCTCATCTGCAGAGCGCATCAGGTGCCTATATACACAAATAAATCCACGCGAGGTTCCAGAGCTGTTCATCAGGTGTATGCACATACAACTCGTGGGGTATATATGCATACACTCCATGAGGTATACGTACACCTTAAGGCGAGGTGCAGGTGTATGTGGTGCTTCAGATTAAGGCAATTGGCCTCACGCGGCGATTGTCGCTGCCTCTGGCGCCTTCACATTACCTTTGGATTTTGTTGCATTCATGCATACCTATCCGTCTGTTCGTTTGCTTGTTCACTTGCTTGCTTGTTGGTTGTATGCTTCTCCAAGTGTGTTATGTCTGGCTGATTAGTTGTTGTGTTAGTTGGCGGATGTATGTTTATTCTTTGACTTTTTCGCCTAATTAAGAGTCTGCTTTTCTTGTTCGTGCCTCAGGTGGTAGAAGACGGCTACGAGTTCTTTGCTAAGAGGCAGCTGGTGACGCTCTTCAGCGCTCCCAACTATTGCGGGGAGTTTGATAATGCAGGGGCGATGATGTCGGTCGATGAGACCCTCATGTGCTCTTTTCAGGTCTGCACACGAAAAACACCCTAAAATACGTTATTCACTCACCGCATGCATGCAGATATATATGCATGGTAGATGCAGATGCATGCAAACGCAAATGTATTAAGGATTAGAATGCGTAGGCGCACTGGCGATAATGGCACGCGGAGGAGTAGTGCATAGAGTTTTATTTCGTCTACGGCTTTTACTTCGCGTGCATGGAGATTTCTAGGCATACACATACACGAATCCACTCAAGTATTTATGTAATTATACTTTTTGTTTGCATTCTTAAAATATTTATTTGCCTATTTTTATATGCATTCATCATCGTTAGAATAAGGCGGACGCATCCGTGCTGGCATGCGCGCATTTCCTTGAGGTGCCAATAAGGCTCGCTATGCTTGACTTGTGTGTCGGTGTTGTAGATTTATGCTTGTGTGTTCGCTGCGTTTGTTTGTTTGGGTTCGTCGTTTTTCAGATATTAAAGCCGGTGGAGAAGAAAAAAGGCATAAGCAAGTGAACGGATGCCGCAGCAGTAGCAGCTGCAGCAGCAGCAGCTGAGGGCAGCGAGCGACGCATAGAGGGGCGTTTTGCTTCTCATTTTCACATTACTTCTGGGGAGGAGTTTTCTCCCAGTGCAAAAGGGGAACCAACGTCAGTACGAGGGCACGGGCTCCAGCTGGAAGCTGCAGCTGCCAGCTAGCCGGCCAGCACGCTAGGTAGCTAGCTAGTTAGCCTGCTGGGTGGCTAGCTAAGCTAGGTAGCAAGCTAGCTAGCTGGCGTTCCAGCTGAGTAGCTAGCTGTGGAGCGGGCTAGGAAGCGGACTAACAGAACAGGCACCTTCATTTTGTGGTTGTTTCCGAATCTCTCTCCTTAGCTCTTTCTTCTCTTTGCAGCGGCCGGCCCTGCGGCGGGGCGTTTGTGCTGCGGTGGGCTTCGCCTCGCCCTTTTGGGGATAAAGAAGTCTGGCTAGCCGCTGGCTAGCAAGCCAGCCACTAGCCATGGGGAGAACAGACTGCTTCGTGCCGGGGGATAATCAAACCCACCCACGCCTAGATAGCTAGCTAGCTGCCTAGCTACCTAGCTAGCTGGCTAACTGGATTGCAGACGAGGCCGGTGGCAGGCGCGCAGATCGGCGCTGATAGGAATCTGCTGCAGCTGCTGCTGCTGCTTCAGCTGCAGCTTGAGGTCGCGTGTGTCTTGGCTTTGGCTAGCTGGGAGCTAGCTGTGGAGCTGCTTAGCTAGAGGGCTGGGGGGGTGGGGTCAGGCTTGCGTTTCCTAGCGGCTTCGTTGAATGCAGGCAGCACTCGCCGCAGCAGCAGCAGCTGCAGCAACAGCAGCAGCAGCAGCGCCTCCCGCCTCGGGGTGTATCTCCAGCAGAGGACTGGCGTTTTTGTCTTCTGCAGATCCGAGTTTGGCTCGGGTTTCCTCAGACCTTTATAAATACAACTGCCAAATAGCTAGTAATATGCATGCAAGACCAAAACATGCGCGTGTTAGTGTACAGCTAGATAGCTAGCCGGCTAGCTCTCCCGTTAGCTAGCTACTTAACTAACTGCATGCAAGGGAAACGGAAGACCGACTGCCCATAGTCGCGGGGCAATGCAATGAAAGCCGTTAGAAAGCGGCTAGCTTGAAAAAGGGAGGCAGCAGCAAAAAACGAAAGAAGAGGGCAGAAACAGAAGTCGGCACGGAGCAGACAGCGTTACTTTACAGTGAACCATAAGACAGGTTCAAGTGGAATGCGAATCAACTTGAAAAAAACAGAAAAGACAACGAATGCATGCAGCAGCATGCAGCGTACACCACCACTCTTAGCCCTGGTGTACGCGCATCGCTCGTGGCGGCAATTCCTGAAGCCCTGCGCACGTGCAGCAGGCCAGCAGTACGGACACAGCTTCTGTGTTGTGTTTGTTGTTTTCTCCTGTTATCTCTGCGGAGGTGGAGGTACACATAAAATCGAATGCTGCTCTGTCGAATGTGGTCTTCTTGCCCTCTCCGGGCGTGCATGCATGAGGGCTTGTCTTTTGTAGTTTGCTGGCTGCAAGCTGCCTTTATCAGCTCAGCTGTACATAGAGCTTTCTATACACGCGTAATCTTTCGTACGGTGTATCTACTGTGTCTGCCTTTGCGCAGCTGTGTGCGTAAATATATAATATAAAATACATATTATATATACATGGTTCTCTTAGGAAACCAATAACAAAGCAGTCGCAGGAGCCACCTGCAGACAACAGGTCCCAGATACCTGCAGCAGCAGCAGCTACAGCAGCAGGTTTGGGAGGGATTGTCGCAGCAGCGCTGGCTGCTGCTGCTGTATGCTGCTGCTGCAGCTGGTGCAGCTGCTTCTGCAACAATTGCTGCAGAAGCTGAGGCAGCTGACAAACATCCCTCGTGGGCCGTGAAACTTAAGTGCGCATGCAAATGCGTCGTTTGTGCTGCGATGAAGAGGAAAATGAAAGAAAATGCCTTCGCCAACGCAACAGTCCTTGTTAGATATATATCCATTCACACAGGATATATATAATAATACATTGCATGCAATATATATATATATATATATATGCATCCGAATAAATATTAGTATTATGTATTACCATGTACATAATTATTGCGTTATATAATAAATAATAATGCTTTATGCGCACTTTGTCTTGGCTTTTGCATGAGGTGAAGAAGGCCTTCTTGCATTTTTTACACAGCACAAGACGAAAAAGAATAATTACGCTTATTGACTAAGTCAAAGAAATACAGACAAATGCAAATACAAATGCACGAGCCGCCAGTAGCTGCAGTCCCTTGGGCCCCTCATTAAGCGGCTATCTCCACTTTGTGTTTCTTCTTCTTCCGTGATACAGCAGCACCTTCTGCTGCCTCTTCAGCTACCTCGCCTTCTGTGTGTCTCTTCTTCTTCTTGGGTTTGGGCTCCTCCTCGGCGGCTTCCTCCCCATCTGCTTCTGCTTCTGCTGCTTCTGCTTCTGCTGCTGCTGCTGCTGCTGCTGCTGCTGCTTCCTTTGCCTTCTTCTTCTTTGCCTTCCTGAGAGCCTTCGCCTCTGCTGCGCGCTGCACCTCCACTTCTGCTGCAGCCTCCCTCATAACGTCCAAGTTCTTGCGAGGCACAACCCCGTCCGACAAATACCTGTGCAGCAGCAGAAGCAGGAGCAGACGCAGCAGCGGCATCAGCAGCATCCCCATTTAAAGCGTGTTAGGAGCGGCAGCACCTCCAAAGCAGCCTCGCAGCAGCTGCCGCCTAGAAGCAGCAGCAGTCGTCTTGCAGTAGTACCAGCAGCCTAGCAGTAGCGGGAGCCTAGCAGAAGCAGCAGCCTTGCAGCAGCAGCTCACTTGAGTCTTTCTTCCAGCTGTTCTTTTAGTTTGTCTCCAAAGATGTGCTGCCGTTGCACGCCGCTTTCATGTTTGTCTGCTTCGTCACTGAAGGCGTCAATGCGGGCCGCGAGTGCGCATTTAGAAGCCAAGTATCTGAAACCGAAGAACAAAATAAACATAAGTGAGAAATCAATAAAACAAACCTATTCAAATTAACCTTGAGCAGCGCCAGCCGGTCTGCCCTCCGCACACAAAGGCCCCTTTCCAACTGAAATGCTCACGCCCAGCTGCAGCACCAGTACCAGCAGTATCAGCAGCAGTACAAGCAACAGCAGCAGTAGGGCAAGCAGCAGCAGAAGGTGTCTGTACAGGTGGAGTGCTTGCTCGCCATACCTGCTCATTCTCCCTCTATGCTTCTGCTGCTGCACCCTGCCTATAAAAGAAGAATGGAACAACAATCCATACTTCGGTGTACGGCCGCTGCGCGCCTTCAAGGCTCTAAACAAAGCCTGAAAAATACAAAAGAACAACTCTGCTAATACCATTACACAACAAAAAGATATAAAGGCAAACATAAAAAACCATTTATCATCCGTAAAAGTATCGTACAGCAGCAACAAAATGGAAGCAAAATTGAGAAACCATTAATTACTACTACAATGCAAAACAACAGCAGCAACAACAAACAACAAACAACAAAAAACAAAACAGCGGGAACACTAACAGCATCAACGAAAGGACAACGGAAATAAAACAGCAAAGCACCACAAAACGAGCGCCTCACTAACACCAAGCCACACCAACAAGAGAAACAAAGGAGGCAAAAGCTCTCGCAAGGAAGAAACAAATATTAACGGAAAAGAAGAAAGGACAAACCCTCAGCAACAAGAAACCCAATGCATCACAACAACAACTTTATCTAAATAAACATATACACATATATATACATATATATACGTATACATATATATATAGAAATAGGCAAATACACATATATATATACAAATAACAAACAGTACACAACACTGAATGCATTAACTGCGTACAACGAAAGCAATACGCCATATACAGTAACCACAGCACTACATCAAATATATTGACTGGCAATACGGAAAGCAGAAGAGAGAAGAACGTCCCATATAAGAAAATGAACACAGCCAGAGAGAAAGCAAAAAGGGGAAGAGAAAGAAGATGAAAGAAGATGAAAGAGATCCGCACAAGGAAGTAAAGCGGCATAAGCATCATATAGAAACAAACAGCAGAAACACATAAGAAACTGCTGCTATTCTCCTCACAGACAGCTCGCCACAAGGACACACACAAACAACAGCAGCAGCAGTAACAGCGACAGCAGAAGCAGCTGCACCAGCACCGCCACCAGCAGCACCACTACCACCACCACCAACAGCAGCAGCAGCACCACTACCACCAGCAGCAGCAGGGGCAGCGGACCTTTTCTGCTCCTAGGATTTGAATGGTGGAGGCGGGGTACTTGGCCAGGGAGACGAGAGCGCCTGCATGCGAAATGAGTCTGGCCCCCAAAACCTCCCCTACGACTGCTTTCAGGTTCGGAGATACGACGTCCATCTTCCCGCTTAAATACTCTTGCAGACTTCGTCGCTGTTCGCACAAATGCAACACCTGCAGCAGCAGAAGCAGCAAAGCACACACGAGCACAGACAATACACACAAGGAAAGCCCCAAAGCTACATAATACACGCAGCTGCAGCAGCAGCAGCTGCAGCAACAAAGTGTAAGCCCACAGCAACAGCAGCAGCAGCAGCAACACCAGACAACTGCAACGGTGCATCGCTGCTGCATGCGCTGCAGGTATGCATCGGTTTATATGTCTCTATCCCTCTAAAAAGTATCTGCTGCACCTGTTGAGCAAACTGATGAATATTCTCGAAGTCAGCAGCAGATATCTCCTGTCCCATCGAGTGCTTCATGGCAGCCAGCACCTCCGCAACGAGTTCTTCGCTGTTCCCAACCGCCTCCAGCAGCGCCTCCCTGCCCTCCTGCAAGCAATTCATTTAAAAAATAAATAGATATATTTACTAGTATATAAATCCATCTTAAATGCCTTTATTCGCATAAACAGCCGCTGCCATCGAACCCACCCACATCAACCAGCCAGCAAAAGAAACCCTAGGAAGCGAACAAAAACACGATAAACAAATCTCTACACATGCACAACCGCCTGCCCTTTACGCTAAAAAAAATGAAGCTGAGACTAACAGCAGCAGCAACAGCAACCGCAGCAGTGGTCTAGGTATGTGTATCTTTCATTTGGTTTAAATGGGTGAGTAGTCGAATGCGAGTTGGAGATTTGTTTGCCGTGCCCCCGTTCGTGTGGTTGCTTGTGTGTTTGTTCGTTCCCCTGTTTACTGCTTCATGTTTCTGCTCGTTTGTTTGCTTGTCTACTGTTCTGTTGGTGCGATTACTCGTGCTTTCGTCTGTGTATATGTTTGCTTGTTTGTTCGTGTGCTAGTTCTTTAGTTAATGAATTATGCTCGTTACTCAGTGTATCCGTTTGTGGGTTTGCTTCTTCACTCGCGTGTTTGTTCGTGTTTGTTTATTCTGCCTTTTACTGAACAGTTCTTTTAACTGACTAATGACGGGGGTCTTATCCAGTGTCTTTGTTACACATTGTGCATGCATTTCTTTATGTGTTTGCTTGCCACGTCTGTTTATAAGCCTGATTTTTTGTTTGCCTTTTACCTTTTCATTGAAGATTTCTTTTTGTTGAATGACGAGGAGGGTCTTGATGTAGGCCTCTGTATCGGGTACGATCTTAACGAGTTCAGGGAAGTGCCACCCATACCACTCTTTAAGTTTCATTGCGAAGGTGTTGATTGTCTTATCGAGTGAGTCAATTAAGGCCACCGATTGCATAATGGGTTTATCTTGCATGCGCGGATCTAGCTGCATGAGATGGCGGCTGTAACTGTGGCCCAGCCCCACTTGGAATTTGTTTAAAGGCAACGATTTGAGTTGCTTCGCTAGGCTCCTCAGATGCATGCGTACACCGCGGTGCACCTCCAGCATGGAGGGGTTGTATACCACACTATACCCCAGCGCACTCAGCGCCTTCCCTAGAGTTGGGTCGCATACTCCTAATGCGCATGCAGCAGCCTCCTCCCCTACGCCAGCTAGTTGCTTCTTCTTCTTGCTGCTGCTGCTGCTACGAGCAGCAGCAGGCATGTGCAGCTCCAGGAACTTCTGCATGCACGGAGGAACTGTGCCATTTGCTACCCCCACCAACGTCTCCAGCGCCTCGGCGGCATCCGCAAAAGGATAGAATGCTTCACAAGAAACAAGTTGTTTAAATCGCTGAGCATCAGCACACGCCTCCTGAACTGCTTCGGTGTCCTGCGCTATCGAATCCCACGCCTTCACCCGCAGCAGCAGCAGCCCTGGCGCTGCCTCAAACAAAATGAATGTCTCTGTACTCATGCTTGCAGTGAGAAGAAATACAGAAAACACACGCCTCCCACGGCTTTCTCCCGCTCCGCCCCTGACCTATTGAGGCCCAACAGAACACAAGAGGACGCAGGGAGAAAAAAACGGAAGATATTCAAGACAGAATAATCGGGAAACGGGATTCAGAAAGGAAGAAGAACGTCCCAGGGAGAGCCGATGGCTGAAAAACAGAAAGAAGACAGTCTGCAGCGGGGAGGCGCTACTATAGGCTGATCCGAAGGGAAGTAAGTGAGGAAAAGGAAATGAAGCGCAAAGAAAGAAAGAAACAGAAAAAAGAAAAACACAAAAACACGCACACAGCAAAGCGATGCCCAGGTATCGAGGGGGCCCGCCAGTGTGGGGGGGAGGCTGGTGAAGGCAGCTGGCTGCGTGTTTATTATAGAATGTTTTTCTTGCTGTTTTCTCTATAAATTAAAACTTAACGTTAACCTGGAACCTTATTTATACAGAGCTTCCCCTTCAAGAGAAAGAGAGAAGAAAAACACAAAACCACACTGGGGCTGGGAGGCCTCTGCCGCCAATCCTTTATTATGACAGCCCCACAAGCAGCTGTTGTTGTTGGCTTTTTCGTACTTTTTATCCCACCTTTACTTTTTCTCTGCCTTTTATTCATTTAACTTACGTATATCTGTTTAAAAACCCAAAGGAGGGGATATCTGGTCACCTGCTTATGACGGTCGAGCCCCAAACTAGCGTTACCTGCACGCAAATGCCCAGTTGTGCATACAGTTCTTCTCATTTATCTATGTTCATCCGGTTCTTCTACTAATAATAACTAGAAATATAGAAGCAAATCGAAGTCTCTTCTAAATGAGAGAAATTTGGACGTACTTCTCACTTCCTAGAATAGTGGAAGACACGCTGTATTTTCACGCACTATAAAGGGGGGCGTCGGTCTTATCCCAGCGCCGTTGCAACCTCAGACTAGATCTTATGAGAGGATTGTTGTGAGCAGCAGTAGAGTCAGACGACTTTAAATAAAGCTTAACAAAAAGCAGCTGGCCTCCCCCTACTCCCCAGGCGTCTGGCGCGCAGCAGCCCAAGAGCCTGGGGTTAAGGGAAGTACGCCAGCCATGAGTTGCAACGCACCGTGCCGCGACTAATGCTGCAAGACAACAAAATGTGCAGGCACAGCCATGCCCCCTTGGATGCATGAAGTATCTACATCGGAAGCGTGTAGCTACATCCGCAGCTGTATTCACAATGCGCTACTTCTGCAGCTGGATATTACGGATGTAGCATGTTCTGTCTAGCGTCAGCACGCGTGTTGTCAACAAGGATATAGCAAAGGAGGGGGCCACATCCTCCCCCCTCTTCCTCCCAAAGCAAGCGCGTTCGTTTGCCTGGTTGCCCAGCAAGCGGTGGACGAGACGAGCAGGGATGGGTCTATAGCCACAAAATAAGGAAGGGAAAAGAAGAATGGGAAAGAGGAAAGCAAAGCTGAGAGGCATCTGTTGACGCCACCTCTACTGCGTTGTTGAAGAGCTGCTAAATTGTGTGGCCCCTGTTCACGGCGCTGTATACGATCCGCCCCATGAATTAACTCCAGAAATGCGCTAACCACCGCCGTCTCCCCCGTCAGCAATGATTATGTTTCGGAAATATACATACCTTTCGGGCAAGTTGGCAAGTAATTTGGGCACCCCTTCTCCAGTGAGTGAAGCCGAACAGGGCATGAAGTTGGCACATTGGCTTAGTCTATCCAGAGCGTAAATAGCTTTCACCACACATGGGAAATCCAATAGGGAATTCATTGAGACGTCCGTCCAGATTCGTTGGGGAATTGGGAGCATAGGCAAGATCCGGGCTTGGGAAGGCTCTTCTACTTTTGCTGCTGACATTCGGGAAAAGTGAGGATATTGTTCTACTTAGAGGCGCATCCTACGCCGCCACAGGACCTCGCCACCTGCTCTATTGCTGCATTGGCCCCACTACGGCCCGCTATGGAATTATTGTGCACTTTGCGCAAGGTGAATGTGCAAGACGAAACTGGAGCGTACAAGAGGGGGAATCGGAGCCTTCAGTCAGACAGTTGCATTCGCGGGCACAAATGCACGCAGGTGCACACTAGTGTGCGAGTGCAGGGATGAAAGGCAGTTGTGTGCCTGTTGTTGGGGTGCATTTAGATATGCGAAAAAAGCGTCCACAAACTCAGATGATAGAACGGTCACTGAGCCATGCAAACAGGCATGTAGCTTGTCGATTTGGGGCATGGGATACTTTCATGACTAGGCTGCTGGCACGCGCACATAAGCCACCTCCCATCTTTTTCCTTCACAAACTCCAGCTTGCTCCCAAACGCGCCACTTGATGATATGCCGTTCCGGCAAGCGTCGCAGTAGAGGTTGCGCTCCGTACTAAAGAGGCAAGCAGCAGCGCCTAGTCGTAGTAGTACTTGTAACGCAGGGAAGTGCACGGAGGGGCAACAGACTATGCGTTTTTCGGTGAAGGGGATTTGCGGGTGAGAGTTTATTCAGTGGGTCTTGGACAATTAGGAAGAAGGGAGAGAGCATCTAATGCGTGTGCTGGATTACATCAGGCGAGAGGTTCAAGTTGGCTGTGCATACAGGGCCTACTCCAATGTGCTTACACGCCTAATCGTTGCTCGCCTACGATGGAGAGCATAGCTGGATCAATCTCCACTATGGGGGAGAGGAAAATGGCTGAATATTCGGCAAATATGTTAAGGGTAATGTGTGGGTTCTCCCCCGTTATTTTGCAAAGTGACTTTTACTGCTAATTAGTGCTGTTTACAAGAGAACCCATCTGTTGGCTCGGGGGCCGCTGCTTGAACCTGCCCTGCCCAGCTCTGCGGTTCTATGAAGTGCAACGACACACTTCAACATTAGCCAAAGGTCGTCGTGGGGGGAAACATACCCAAAGTACCTGCGATAAGAGTTTAAAAACAACAACTGAACACCTCCACAACCGAGGGGTCTTGGAAACAGCAGTACGAAGGGCTGGGATTGGTGTGAAAAGGAGTTGGCCTGCCGTGAGTGGCACGACTCCTTGCTTCAGCACGCGCTGCAGCTCAACTCCGTATGCAAGCAAATCAGCTCCCTTTTTATGTATGATGTAAGACTGAATTCAGTAATTAAGCACTTAGTTGGCCCGCGGTAGCCAACCTGGAGAAAGTACGGGCACAAACATCACACAGAAACAACACCTCCGTACAGCTGAATCATGTTCACCCTTAAGTTTCTTAGTATTTATTCTGGGCCCCGCTAAAGACACAAATATCACTTATTTGCTATTTCACTATTACATCTTTTTGGGTCAAAGGAGCATGTGCCCCCCTGTTCATATCTTCTAACAAACTGTGTTCCATACTTAACCTCGGCTGAACGCCTTTTGGAAGTAGAAGTACCTTCGTGCGTGTGGGTCACCACTTAGGGTATAAACAGACTTTTGCAGGTATCTGCAGTGTATTGTTTATGCGATTCGTTGGTAGAGTTCTCGGGTGTACGTACATTCGGCCGGGTCGGTTGCGTTCGGCTGCGCCAGATCGCGGCCGAGGAGCCTATGTTGCACTAGAGGGCTTTAGGTATGAGTCGTTGCAGTATTTGTTCTTCAAATTAAATCCCAAAGACAACCGCACGAATACAATTGAACAAAACATAAAACGTTTGCATTTTTTGCGAGGCGAAAGCCGCGCTGTGCATACACAGCATATAACTGGGCCGGCCACGAGCGGCGCTGCCGCTGCCGACCGGTGCGGGGGCTTTGTGGACTCCTGCAGGAGTTTGTTTTTCTTGTGCCTTCTTTTTTGCGTCTTCTGTTTGAAATTTGAAAGGCTTGACTGCTTTCTCGTGGGTTTACGGCTTTGGCCCCAGTTTGCTGCTGCTGCAGCTCTCATGCTGCAGCAGCAGCTCACTGACCAACGCCAGTTCAACGTTCGCGTGTATACGCAGCTGTGAAAAGAGCACATTGAGAGGTTTACACCATTTTTTGCAATTTGCCGCTCAGACAGAAACTATAGACACCAGGGTTGCGCCTTAGCGAAGCCTTGTTTCCTGTCCTTTCGTGCACAACGCCCTGGGGGCTCCACTGCTGCAGTCGGCAGCAGCTGCAACCCCCAAAGTGCCTTAGATTCTGCTAGCAGCTCCTTAGCAGAAACAGCAGCAAATCCATCTTCAACTAGAAGACACAACAGCAGAGACAGGGCCCCATCTTCTTCCCCGCTACCTCGTGCCCCAGGCGCCCAAGGCGGCAGGCTTTGGGTGTCCGTACACCGCAGCACAGCACACCAAAGAAACGCTGCATTGCCTCAAGAGAATAAGGCAAACAAACACGGGACTACTCTGCCCTTGAAAGGGGGCGAGGCCTCTCCTCCGCCTTCTGCCCTGTTGCTGCACACAGCAGCGACAGAATTGCGGAGGCCAGAGGTAAGAAACTGAAGAGGTTCCGCCGCCGCTGCCGCATGCCCCATGCTATTCAAGGGATTCGCAACGACTGCGCTGCAGCGGGAACTCAAAAGGATCTAAGAGCTGTCGTCTCTGGTCCCCATACACCTGAAAAATGGCGCATCCGGCAAGCAACCATGCGGCGTTGCAGCAGCAGTTGCTGCAGCAGCAGCTGCTGCAACAACAGCAGCAACAGCCCTACTCACGCACAGACAGATACACGCCCATGACGCATATGGGTTCGGGCTATCAACAGGTCCTCCAACAATCCCGTAAGCGCTTGCCTGCCCCAGCTGTTGGTTTAGCGACTGCATTCGTTTAATATCGGAACACCGGAGCTGCAGCTGCCTGTATACCTGAAGAAGAGTCGGGTCTATGCATGCTGTGCATGCACGTGAGTGTTTGTTCTGTTGCGTTGATTGTCTCCACAGCGAATGACGGAGGCAGCCACGGCTACAGCGCCGGCGTACACGGGGGCCCTCACCCGTCTTCTTCTGGTGCAGGGGTATCTGCTGCATTTGGAAATGAGCGGGAGGAGGGGGCTTCTGCGATGTACAGACGGAACCGGCGGAAAGCGACACTAAAGATGGTGCTGGTGTCTGTCATTTTGGTTTCTTTTCTCTGCAACTTCGACCACGGAGTCATCCCTGCCATCCTCAGTGAAATACAAAAAAATTTCAACAACCAAATTAAATTTGTCGAACAGAGTCTCTTCGGATCCCTCGTCTACTTCGGCCTCATCGTTGGCAGTCTCTTCGCAGGTACACTAGCACCCGTCGCTTCTGTAGCTTGCTGCCTCCACTAATTAACAATTATATCAATAAATTAAATTATGTATATGCATATATGTACATAAGCATGTATCATATATATATGCATGTATATAAACAAGTAATATAAGTAAATATATATATATATATATGTGCATATATTTACTTTGGCATAATAAATATATGAAAGGGTATTCAAAAAGCAGGTATGAAGACTAAAAAAAGTGTTATAATGGTCCTAACGATAGTATATATCTGCAGTACAATGTTGTGTTCTATGAATAAGAATATTCCGCTCGACAAGGCAAGCCTGTCAGCATCTCTTTCCTTTGTTATCACGTACTGTCTGTGGACGTTTGATTGTAATCATATCATATCCTTTGCAAGCATATAGCAGCATAGATAAATGAGTGAATAAAGCGCAGTTGAGTTCGCCGTTGTCCCAGAAATGTCGAACTCCATTGCATTTGTGCATTTAATAACACTCTCTAGAAGGCTCTTCTTTAAGTTTCTGCTGCTGCTGGTAGTTCGCTGCAGAAAGGTCTCCTCCTGTAGCAGCTTGCTGCTGCAGCCCGCTAGTGTAGCTTGTTGCTGCAGCTGCAGATGGGTTTTGCGTATTTGGGTGTACAGGCATCGCGCTGCAGAGTTACGGAGCCAAGTGGCTTTTGGTGGGGAGTTTGTTGTGCTTGGAATCCTCTCTTTTTTTCTTTTCAAGCTCGAACAGTTTGCTGTTGATGTACTTCATGAGATTCATCACCGGCCTGTGCCAGGTACCGTCTTCTGCTTCTTGCCTTCGTCTCCTTTTTCTTTTTCTTCTCTCTTATTCCCCCTTTTCTTCTTCCCTAGCTCTCCTATTTCTTCTTTCTTCCTTCTGTTTTTTTCTTTTTTGTATTCCTCCTATCCCTCTCGTTCCTCTGCTTCTTCCTTCTTCGTCGTGTGCATCTTGCTGCCTCCCTCTGTCTTCTCGTCGTTCTTCTCGTTCTTGTGCTTTTTCTCCTTTCTTCTCCCTTCTTTGCTTTTCCTTCTTACTCTTTCTTTTCCTTCTCTCACTACTCATAGTTGCTTCTTGGGTAGATGCGTAGATGACATAATCTGCTTGAAAGAACCAAAATATCGAGAGAAACTGCGGCTTCCCCTCCCTTTTCAACCCTACGTTTTGGCTGCACCAGTGGGTAGTGGCGTTCTGTGTATTTGTTCTGTTAAGTTTCTTTTCCTGATGCCGGGTTTTGCTGCAGGCTGTGCCTGTTGTTTATTTGCCCGTCTGGGTAGACGATTACGCCCCCGAGGGAGAAGTCACAAGATGGATGTCCTACACACAATTAGCAGGCATAGGAGGTAAAATGCACACACACACAAATATATATATATATATATATATGTATATGCATCTGTATATGCATGAATGTAGATAAACTCAAGGACGCCCGTATAATATATATATATATATATATACTTGTATGCACATATATATATATATATATATATTTATATATATATGCATACATGCATATACATGCATATATATATGCATATACAAACAAATATATATGTATAGAGTTTTATTTATATGCATATGGACGCGTACAAGGCGTCTAAAGTTTTCAGTGTAGTCGCCTCAGACCCCACTGCAGGCTCGCACCTCGCCTGCCTGCATGCAAAAGCATGCATATTATCTGTCCCTGCAAGGAAAATAAGGATCTATATCTATGCACATTAATACATGTTTATAGCATATGCAGTCCACCTTAGGATAAAGGGGGTTTCTTGGTTAAATAAGCTATTCAGCTTATTTAACCAAGAAACCCCCTTTATCCGCGTCGGCGTTTGCATGTTTCAGGTGTATGCTACGAACATAACAGCCACATGCAGAAGCACATATGTATATTGATATGCTTGTGTAAATTATATATGTATTCCGCCTTGACCCTAAGGGATTTTTTTTGGGTTGCATCCGAGGAATCCGAAGATGTGTTGGTGTTTGCATGCTTCAGGCACAGTGACTGGCTATTTTATTGGTGGCGTTTTCTCCCGTTTTACGGCGCCAAGTGGAGAAAGCGGGTGGCGGACGCCTTTCTTCGTGCAGGTGGGCAGAGAGCCCTCGTTGAGCACACCACAACGACATTTTTGTTCTTCTTTCTTTGGTTCACATCACTGAAATGCAGCCGCACCTTTGTTGTTAGTTTGCTTTTCATCGACAAAATACAATTAGTGCGTTCTTTTACTCTGAGTAATGCTGGGAGAGCACAGCGGCTTCTCTGTTTTATTTTGCCTTTTGCCGAGAGAACACCACGACTTCTTTGTTGTGTGTTGATTCATATCCATAAGGCACCCTTATTTCGTTGTGTGTAAACCTGCTGAACATTCCCTATCCTTCTGCTACAGAATCATGAACATGCATTCTCTGCGGTTGTTTGTTGATTTGTTTGCTTTAGTCGGTGGCGCTAGCGCCAGTGGTGCTTCTTTTGGCAGCCCTTCCCGCCTCTCTCGTCAATCTATCGGACAGAAGCCAGGCTAGACCTGAGCGGCAGAGGTGATTCTCGCTTAAAATATATAAATATAGATGTTATATTCTTGTATATATATGCTAGTGCATGCTTATATGTGTTTTCTTGTAAGTGCCCATATTATATGTATATGCTTATATATGTAGGCACATCTGCATATGCATATATTTATGTATGCATACCTAACTATAGGGATATTTGAATATGCGCCTATAAGTACATATATTTCTAGGCACAACAATACGTACTTGTGTTTATTTACATCGCCTGTTCTGTTTTTGCTGTTTTCTGTGCAGAACGGGCCTCAGTACCATTGGGGAGGCGGAGGGTGCTGGGTCTTCTTGCATGTCTAATTTCTTTTCTGCTTGGACAGAAGTGAAATCTTTGCTTCGCAATCCCCTTTACGTCGTTGTGACGATGGGGATGAGTGCTTTGTACTTCGTAGTGACTGGTGAGCAGCAGACGAAGGACTGAGTGCATCTCTTTTCTCTAGTTTTTTGTATTTGTTCATCATGCAGCCTCTATCATGCAGGTGCAGCAATAGAATGCACTGGACTTAGGTTTACGGGATGCGCAGGAGCGGCCACTTTCCTGTGGTTCTTCTTGTGCAGACGAACGAAATTTCTATTTCCTGTTTTTGCTCCTTTCTTCTTTTCCTGTTTAGGCATTCAGTTCTGGGTGACGGAGTTTCTGGTCTCAGTTCTGCACTTTCAGAAGCTTTCAGTTGTTGCACTCAGTACTTTCTGCTTCCTCACCGCTCCAACCTCAGGGTGAGCTTCTCCCGCCGCTGTACAACAGCAGTTCCTCATGCTGCTGCTTGCTGATGGTGCTACTGCTGCTGCTTGTTGCTGCAGCAGCAGCAGTTACTGCGCACGCGTCTTGCAGTTGCTGCTGCGTGTAGTGTACATAAGCACGTCGCCAGACTGAACGGGCGGCAAAGTCCAACAGTAACGTGCTAAGCAGTATAATTTAATATGATTAAAATGGTTTATGTTTCCATATTTTCCGTGTGCAGCGTCTGGTTCGGGGGCTATGTGTGCGACCTCTGTGGGGGCTATCGAGGTGGCGGCCAGCAGCGCGTTGCTGTACGCGTAACAACTCTATTTGCAGGTAATTACAAGCAAAATAAACAAACAAAGGAGAAACAAGACATATTGCTGCTCACAAATATATAATTGCGCCTGTGGACAAATCTAAAGTTGAAACCGCTCTGTTTGCACACTATTGTATTTCGTAGCAAGTTGGTGCTTTGCCTGTTTGTCTGTCAGTTCATTCGTGAGTATTTGAATATGTCAGCGCATTCTCTTCCCCTGGTTTCCCCCCAGGTGTTCACGTTTGCTGTTTTGTTTGTGGTTTTGTGCGTTGCTTTTGTTTGCCGTCGTATTTGCAGGGATAGGAGCGACATTAGCAGTGACTTGTATCTACGTAGAGTCTTTTATTCTCTTTGCTCTTCTTCTTTGGGGCTGTCTTTTCTTTGGAGCCGCACTGGTGCCAGTTGCTGTCGGTATTCAACTTGCAAGCGTTCCGCTGCACCAACGTAGCATTTCCTCTGCCCTAAGCCAATTCGCGTAAGGGGTTATTCTCTTCAGACCCATATATCAGTTTCTATGAATATGTATACATATTTATTTACCTACAAGATATAAGGAATATGTATGTAACGAAAGTGCTCTTATTGGCATATATATCTTTCTGTATACGTGTGCACTTCCTCATTGTTTTATGGAATAGGCAGATGCGTTGGTGGTGGTGCGCGTTCATGGAGGGGTTTTCTGTTTTCTTTGCAATAATAGTACTCTGGTTTTGTTTGTTTTTTTCCTTTTGCTCTCTACTTGGAAAACCTGCTTGTTTTGCTCGTTTTTTCCCTCGTAGAATATGTTTTTCCTTTTTTACCTTTTTTCTTTCTCTGTAACATGGTCACTGGTTTTTTTTTGTCTTCTTTTCAGCTACAACGCTTTTACTTTGCTTGCCTCTTGTTTTCCCTTTCAGTACGCCTTATTCCCTTTGCTTTTGCGTTTCTGCTTCAGCTATAACATGTTCGGCTGGTTTAGTGCGCCTCTCGTTTCGGGGGTTGTGATGGACTTCATTGACTGGTGCCACCCAGCGGGAGGCAAAGAACTGCCGCTCCGGTAAATATAATCTACACTTATTATATTATGTATAATAGATGTAATTTATAGTGGATGTATATATGTATATATACTAATGAGGGGAGCAATAACGCAGTTGCCTCTTTCTTTTTTGGCGAGTGATTTGTTTCTTTCTCTGACTACCAGTGTATATGTTGTTCCTGCGTAATAAAATAAATAAGGCACTTCTCCCATATTTTTCTTGGTTTTGCAGGTTTGGGTTTGAAATGATCTTGTGGGTTTCTGTCGTGGGTTTTGCTCTCTTCGCCGTCGCGAACACTTTAGTGCAGCAGGTGCGTCATGACTTCGCCTTCTTCTCTTTAAAAGGATCAGACAAAAGCATAAACAGTTAAAGTTTGATTTGCATTCTGTTCACTAATTAAACGTTTTGCTGTTCTCTTCGCTTGCTGTCGTCAGGCTTTCCCCTCAGAAGATATTGAAAAAGAGGAGCTGGAGCTGCAACTTGCACGCACGCGGATGCCTACATTGTCTTTTTAATTAAATTGTTTAGAAGAGAATGCAAAAGAACACAAACAACAATTAAACTGCTGCGCATTCGCGCGAGGCTGCTGAGGCCTCATACGTACGGTGTGCAGTGGTTAGAGGGCAAGGCGGCAGTCTGCTGCTGCTGCTGCTGCTGCTGCTCTTCTTTTCCCGACGAGTTTGAATGGAACTGCTCTGTCTTTGATTTTATTTAACAGCAAAAGAAAGGAACGAACAAAATGAAACAGACAGACATCAACACATACTGCCTCCGTCTCTGCTTCGTGTCCATTCGCAATTGCAGCATAGAAGATAATCAGATTAACCGCTGCGGGTTTAGGGAAAATTTTAAATAATTCAAATAATCCTCTATTTCGTAGAAAAGAGGAGTTTCTGCCTTCCAAATGAGTCGAAATAATCAGTTACCCCCCATGCAACCATAGACAATAGATGTTGTACGTTGGTATAATACAACTCCAAATCAGCAACTATAGCCTCCCCTAAACCCTAAACCTCCTGGGCATTGCGGCAGCTTGTATGTCTGGGGTTTATGATGAAAATGGATAGAGGAGACAGAGGGGACAAGATATTATGTGTAGAGGTGGTGCAGCACTTCTTGCTGCTGCAGCTGGCGCTGCAAGGCAACAACAAATGCGCATACATGCGTTTAAAGACCCAAAGATGTAGGCAAGTGCTGATAATCACATTTTTGGCCCTAATGGCTTAACCGCACAAAAAAATACAAGTACGACTTCAGACAGGTATTCATACAAGAGCAGCAACACCTGTATTGTGCAGGAGCGTGTTGTTTTCCAGTAGACCATCCGCAGCTTTAATGTACTTTGTTCTATAAAAAGTAAAATGTTCAATTTAATTATATTAACCGAAATAAATACAATGAATAGGGGAAAAGCTAAGCAGATGTTGATTCTCTCTTGCATATTATTAGGGGGGTGGCCATGTCTGCGCGTGCAGAACGCCAATATAAAAAGGGGAAGTTCCGCTGCTTGCTGCAAACCACGCACAATTTTATTCCTTAAAAAATAAATAATAATACATAAAAGTTTAATATTAGTACTATTTACATCGTTTAGAAGGAGGATTCAGGCAGCGGTGGCGGAGGGGTTTCCTCATTACCACATCGGGGAGCCCCATAACTACCCCCACTCATTTTCGGTGTATTTTCTTTGTTTTTTGTTCCTAAACTTTAATGGCGAGAAGTTCATAAGCCAATGATTAAATTTCACTGTTTTTTATATCCCTTTGTTGCCGCTTTCTTCTTCTTCCCGCGTGTGTAGCTACAAACTCTTAGGGGTTTCTCTTTCTCCCCCCTCCCCCCCTCTCTTCATGTGTTTCTTCTGTTTTGCTCCGATGCATCTCTTTCTTCTCTTTTCTTCTGCCATTGTGCATCAGCCCTCTTTCTTCTAACCTCCTCTCCTCTCCTCCCTTCCCTCTTTCTTTTCCTGTTTCATCTGACTTGCTCTGATGATTGAGCCCAGCCCCGAGGCCCCCCAAGAGGCTCCCCAGCCACACTCAACCCTGAAGACGAGCGCATGCGATGAGAGTTCTTTAAACCCTTTCCCTTCTTCTGAGAATGACGGCGCACTCGCGAACATGAGGGGGCCCTCGGGGGCCTCACTGCGGCCTCCGGGGCCCCCGGGGGCCCCGGGGGCCCCATCTTCTCCTGATTCGTTTTCAACAACAAAGGGCAGAGAACCCACCCCAGAGGGGGGACCATCGGACACTCCCAGCTGGAGCTGTACAGACGGCTCAGAGAGCTGCCGCGTTAAGGGGAGGGGTTCAAGTTCGTCAGTTGTTTCCCTCATGTCGGAAGACGGAGAGGTAGAAGAAGAACGAACCCCTTCACCGCGCATCGAAAACAAGGCGGCATCTCGTCCTCGGCGCTCCGCAGCACTTCGCAGCAAGCGAAGCGCAACAGCAGCAGCAGCAGATGCTGCAGCAACAGCAGCAACTGCCACGCCCCCACCCGTTCCTGCAAAGTACCGAGATGAACTCGAAGCTGTAGATCGGGATATCATGCAAATATTAAACAAAGGCATCGCAGTACGCATTCACACCCAGCCCATACTGAGCATGCATGCATTTATGCATGCTACTGCATGCACATGCATGCATCAGGAGGCTGTACAGACACGCACGAATTTATCGCTTTTTGGGTGTGTTCGTTTGTGCCTTAACGGAGGGTAGGGTCCCCTCAGGAGAGGCGCTTAGAGCGGCCCCGACTGCGAGCAGGCAGCACTTTGAATGTTATGCCGTTGGGTGTATGCACAGCACACCGATCTCCTCTCCAACAGAGAAGAATACATTAAAATAAAGAAGGCGCTCGTGGCTCCCGAGGGGGAAGAAGAGGCAGAAGGGGAGGGAGAGCAGCCCCAGGGTATTCAAACATCCTAAACCCTAGACCCTAAACCCTTTGCACACCGAACCAGGCGGGTTACCTGTCCTTGTGCCGTTGTCCAACGCCCTCTTCCTTCCAATTACGTTCTATTGTTTAGGGTTTAGGGTTTAGGGTTTAAGGCTTAGGGTGTCGATGCATGCGGGCGTATACAGGCACGGGTCTGGTGCTGCAGCTGCAGCGGCTGCTGCGGGTTTTTTGCGAGGGTTCATCCCTACCTATATCTGAATTAGCAGAGGCAGCAAGTGCTGCTCTGGCAGACAAGGGCCCTGAAGGAGACGCTCCGGCGTTTGCTGTAGACGCCCAAACCCTCAAAGTTGAGCTCCCCGTGCTACTCACACGAAGGCGGTACGGGGCTCAGGGATAGGGTTTAGGGTTTACGGCGTAGGGGTTGCGCAGACGCGTGCGGGAAGGGTTTAGGGCTTAGGGTTTACGGTTTACAGTTTAAGGCTTAGGATTTATGACAGAGGGCTGCGGACTGGTGCGTAGGGTAGGGGCTTAGGGTCTAGGCCAAGGGAGAGGTATCTCGGGTTTAGGGTTTAGGGTTGGATTAAGGCCACGGGTTGAGGGTTTACGGTTTAGACCATGGGGGAGCTGTCTGGAGTTTCTGGTTTATGGTTTAGGGTTTGGGTGTGTGCAGCTTCGGCCTCGTGCGCCCCATCGAGGCGGAGGGGGCCCCCGCTGCTGCAGGGGGAGGGAGGGCGCCCCCCGTGGGGCCCTTGGAAGATACAGCTGCGTACAAGTTATGGATTTGGGAGTGTGTGCTGCTAGATGGACTTCCTGCTGCTTTTAAGGAGGCGGCGCGCAGAGAAAGAGAAGCGAGACAGGTGCCGCCAAACCCTAAACCCTAAACCCTCACAATAGACAACCGGACTGCATCCTCCAGGAAGGGAACCCCAAACCATAGTAGACACACGCACACCACACCCTGAACCCTAAACCCTAAGTAACCACAGCGCCTAAACCCTAAACCTAAGTTATTGGAATTGCGTGCCGCCTTGTAGTGAGCCGAGGGGGGAGCGATTTTTTTCTCTTCGCTTGAGGCCTGCTCTGTGAGTACGAGGAGCCTTCCCTCTGCTCTAGAGTTCAGGGTTTAGGGTTTAGGGTTTGCGGCGCAGACCCTGTACCGGCGGCTGCGGGCTTTGGAGAAGCTGCGGGAGGCGCTGTGTGGGGGCGTAGAGGGGGAGATAGCTGCAGCAAGGGAGCGGGTGCAGCAGCAGCTGCAGCGCGAAGCAGCAGCAGCAGAGCGGAAGCAGCAGCAGGAACACAAGAAGAGACAAATTGAATATGTGCGAATGGAAAGAGAAAGGGGGCGGCGACAGCGGGAGGAGCAGCGCGAGGAGCAGAGGAGACAAAAAGAGGCGGAGAGAGAAAAAAGGGAGAGAGAGAGACAAGAAAAAGAGAGAGAGAAAGAAGAACAACGACTGGTACATACGCACACCCGAAACCCTAGTCTCTCAAGCCCGAAATCTTCTTCTCTCAAGTCCTAAACCCTAATCACTAAGACCCTAAACCCTAGTCACACGAGCCTTCAGCGAGCTTATCAGGGGGCCCCTCTAAAGGCTCATCGGCGCTTTCCAGAGTCCTGGGGGACCCCGTTTAGGCCCCACAAAGCAGCAGCAGCAGCAGAAGCGGCGGCGGCAGCAGCAGCAGCAGCATTCGTCTGCGCGGGTTTGTTAGGGTGTAGAGTTTGTTGGTTGTGTGTGTACGCTTTGGTGTGCAGCAGCGGCTGCAGCAGCAGGCAGAGAAGCAAAAAACAAAAAAGACAGACCCTAGTGTAAACAGGCAGCAGAGCCTTATGGCTTCTTGGTTGCGGCGACCTGCTGCCCCTGCAGGCGGCAGCGGCTTGCACACAGGCGGGGGGCCCCCCGGCAGCTCTCAGGGGAGCAGGGGGCCCACAGGAGGGGCCCCCCAGAGCCCGGGAGGAGGGGGGGCTCCAGGAGGTGAGTGCCCTCTTGTGGTGGTGCTTGATGAAGAAGAACAAGCAGACATTAGGCAGAAAGCGGAACTCAGAAAAGCGGCAGAGGCAGAAGCTGTTGCATGGCGCGTAGCCCCAGAAGACAAAGAAGGCTTTGTTGGAGCTGTTGAACGGCTGGCCAGCTGTACGTACACCCCAATTAACCCTGATCCCGAAACGTACACAGCCGAGTAAACGTGCGCGATCCACGCCCTAGGGTTTAGGGTGTAGGGTTTGGCGGTTTTTGGCTGCTGTTCCTCAGGCGCACTGCAGCGGCACCGCCGTGTGGACTCGAAAGAGTTGCCGCAATTCATAGAAGGCAAGTTTGAGGGTTTAGAGTTTGGTGTTTAGGATGGGGGACAAGCGTGCAGTGGTAGCTGGCTCTTTTGGGTAGGGTTTAGGGTTTAGAGTTTAGGGTTAGGGTTCTGGGCTAAGGGTTTAGAGGCTGCCGGTGGTGCGTTTGCTGCAGCAGAGCAGCAGCAGGAGCAGCAGCAGAATAGCGAGCCTTCGCGTTTACTGCAGCAGTTCGTAGAGCGGCATGCTGCGCCTTCTCGCGATTGTCTGCGGGAATTTGTCTCCTTTTGTGGTGGGTCTCTTCTTCCTGGTTGTTTCACCTTTATTTCTTTGTTTTCGTCTTCTTCTCTTGTTCCGTTCGGCTACTTTCTTCCTTTATTTATTTGATCTCTCCTTGTTTTCGTTCGCGGACAGTATAAGCACATTAGACCAGGAGGAAATCATCTACCCCCCATATTATTACATTTTATATGACTATCTATGCTACACTATATACCTTTATATATATATATATATATATATATATGGTGCATAGTACTGTATAGGAGGGGCATTGCTGGTTTTTGTTTGGCTGCTTCTCAGTTCACCACCGTCGTTTTGTGCACAAAATCCCTCCGCCGCAGTCCGAAGAAAGCAGCAGCAGCAGCAGCGGCAGCAGCAGTATCAGCAGCAGCAGCAGCGGCTGGACGGGCAGCGGATACCGCCAGTCAGCAGCAGATGTACGGAGAGGCCTCACTCTCACTGATTACTGCGCTGACTCGCTCCCTGATGCTCCTTTTTTGCGCTCTGTGTGGATGGCTCTGGATGACTGGAAAAGACCTGTTAGGAAACTTCTCATGCCGAAACAACCTAAGGTAACAGCGATAATACTGCTGCTGGTTTTGCTGCTGCAGCTGCTGTTGTTGCTGTTGCTGCCGCTGGGAGGAAAGGGGGATAAACCTGATGCTGCTGCTGTTGGGTGGTGGTACTGCTGTTGCTGGTGATGGTGATGCTAGTGCTGCTGATACTGCTGCGGCTGCGGCTGTTTTTGCTGCATGGTTTTGTGCCTTCTATGCTGCACTTGGCGGGTGTTGCTGGCGTTTCTCATGTGAGTGGATGTTTTGTTGTTGCATTGTTCTTGCATTGTTTTGTTTGTTTGCGTTTAGTGCGCAAGTTGCTGCGAACAATGGGCAGAGGAGAGTTGCGTTGATTATGAACGAGACAGCGATGATGAATGGTTTGAATGCTTTGATGCTGACGATTTGGATGACGCGAAAGAAGAAGAAGAAGAAGAAGAAATAGAAGCAGAAGAAGACAGAGACTGGCTGGAGGAAGACGAGGAAAACAAAGACAAACAAACTTGGGCTGCTGCACCCCCCATCAAATTCGCCTCGTTTCTTAACTGGAAATTCTCTTTCGATGGAGAACCCAGACCCAATGAAAACGAGGGTAAACAAAAATTTGCAATCACGCAATGTCTTTTACATGCATGCATGCACGAAGATATCCAGTACATGCATGCATGCATGCACGAAAAGATCACGTACACGCACGTGCAATGGGATCAAGTGGATGCATCCATGCGCGCATGCATTTAATTAGATGAAGTTTGCTTTTGCTTGTTTTCCTCTTCATGTTTCCCTGCATCACCGGAAGGACAAGTGCTGTGTTTTCTTTGAATGCATAGGGCGAACTCTTTGCTTTCGTTCTTTTCTTGTTGTTGATTGCTTCTGTGCGGACTTTGTTGCTCTTCTTCGTATTCCCTCTACCTGTTTGCAGCATCCGTACACCTCGTGGCCTTTCCCAGTCTACGCGACGGCAACTGGGCTTCTGCTTACGGCTGCATCGGGCACGATTGGGGTGAGAGAGGCCCGGAGAACAAAACGCTTAGCGCTTTATTCCCAGCTCATTGTATTAATGCGCGCGGTTTTTTTGTCGTCGATTTGCTGCTGTTGATTGTTGCTGTTTTCTTGTTAGTGTTTTGCTGTTGTTGTTTGCCATTGTTTTGTTGCTGTTTTGTTGCCTTCGATTTACCGTTTGTTGTTTTTTATTGGTGTTGCTTTGTTGCTGCTGCTGCCGTTGTTGTTAGGGTCGTTGCTGTTGTTCTTGCTGTTTGCGTATTGCTGTTCTTCTGCGGCTGCTGATGTTGGTGTTCTTGATTATGATATTGTATTTGCTGCTTTTTTTACGTACAGGGGGGAACCCGTTTGCTAAGCTGGATGTCTTACCCATCAGCACAAGACGTAGATGGTCTGACGAAGACAGCATTAATCTTTTAAAGGTACACACAAAGAAAAAGGGGCATTTCTTCTCCCTGTACACCTGAGGGCTTCTTTACATTGTTGAGAAAACAACGCATGCAACAACACATCCGGGCCCTACAGAGAAAGTCAAACAAAAGACATTTCCAACACGCACAGAAGAATAAAGGATGCAAGCATGCATGCGTGTATGCGTGCATGCATATTACTTTTGTTTCTCCCTCCGTGGCCGGTATTGTTTTGTGCTACGAACTACGAACATGCGCGTATATTTTTGGGATGTATATTGTGGTGTTTATTATAATGAGCATTGGCGCCATCCCATTCAGAAGTGATTTTCTGTTCGTTTTTGTTTTTGCAGTTTTTCCATGGAAAGACCGTCGGAAAACTCCGAAATATTTCGGAGTTTCAAAGAGCGTAGGCTCTTGCGTGCTGTTCCCATTCTCTTATTTTGCTGCTTTTCTTTTCTTTTCTATTCTTTTATCTCTTCTTTCCCTTTTTTCTTTCCGTCTCTCTCCTTTTCTCCTCTTTTCTCTTATGCCCCCCTTTTCGCTTTTCTTTTTCTCGTGTTCACTTCCGTTTTCCGTTTCGTTTGTCTCTCCTCTCTCCCTTTCGTCTCTTTTTCTGGTTTCTGTTGTTTGTTTAATTCTTTTTGTGCTTTATGTGGGTGCTCCCTTCTCGCAGCAACCGCCATGTGACGAAAGCTGAGGTGGAGAGACAGCTGAAGCAATACATGGTGTACGAGCGACGCGCAGAAGACAGACAGCGCGTATGCATCCTTTCTTTGAACGCTGCGGCTTTTAAATTAGGCAGACACCGCAGCGAAGGATAAGAACCATTGCCTTCTGCACATGCGCATGCAGCTGCATGCAACTGTCTGCTTTTTTAGAGCATTCAGAGACCTCCCCACCAGCCTGCAAAGAGTGCTAGTAGAAATGGAAGGCGTATGCAGCATCTCATCAAAATAAATACACAACACACACGAATACTAATTATACAAAATAACTGTACAGCAGCCAACGCTCCTGCGTCACTATCCGTTCTCTGGCTTTCTTTGTGTGTTTGCAGCGATGGTATGCAACGGAGGAAGCAGCCCGCGCCTTCAATCTATCAGAAGATCTTGAGATTATTTTTCAGAGCATAAGAACGGAAGAGAAGATAGTGGAGGCCAAACAGCAAGAACTGGCGGAACAGCTGAAGGCGCAACTCGCAGCAAATAACGCGATTCTTGACACAGACGATAAAAAAATGCAACACCAAGCGCATGCAACAACCTCCCCAAACGAAGCAACAACAACCCAGCCAACGCCGTCGCATGCAGCAGCTGCAACACCTGCCGCAGCACCTGCAGCACAGGCTGCAGCACCCGCAGCAGCTGCAGCTCCTGCAACGGGCGGTTCCAGTTGCAACAAGCTAGAAGCCTTTTTTGTTAAGAGGGCTGAGGCGCCAGATGAGCAGCAGCAGGCAGCAGCACAGGCCCCACGGGGAACTAACGCAGCGGCTGCTGCTGGTGCTGCTGCTGCTGGTACTGCTGCGGAGCTGCGACCGGGCCCCAGCGTGCAGCAGCTGCTGCAGCAGAAGAAGCCGCCGTCCTCCTGTGGGGATTCTGTTACCTGGCCAGCAGATGAGGACACAGCAGTTGCTGCTGCTGCTGCTGGCATCGCTGCAAAGTCCGCAGCAGCAGCAGCTGCTGCTGCTGCCGCAGGACAGGCGAACTCGCAGGGGGCTGCGCTTGCTGCTCATGTTGCTGCAGCAGCGCTTTTAGCTGCCAAGCTGGCGAGAGGAGCAGCAGAGCTCGGGGAGGGGTCCGAAGCGCCTCGTGCGAGCGTTGATATTGATGGAGCGCCTGTACAGCAGGGGCAACTGTCTGCTCAGTCCGTAGCTTCTGCCTTGCCAGCAGGGGGCCCCGGGGCCCGCTCCTCTTCTGCTTTCGTCGCCTCTCCTTTGGGAGCCCCCACTCGATACAGTGCAGACGGGAGGATGATGGCGGATTATGCGAGGTCAGGCGCTGGGACCCCGGGTGTAGTGACAACTGGGGCTGAAGAAGACCTCGACAAGATCTCCGCAGGGAAGCGCATGCGGAAGAGCGCAGTAATGCAGGGGCCACATGTTGATGTGCCAGGTGATGCAGCACCTAAGCGCGTCAAGAGGCGGCAGTCTGCAATGCCAACCCCTACAACTACAACGACAACAACAGCAACACCAGCAACAAACTCCTAGAGGCTCCAAGCGGGTCTCGGGAAGCTTTCGTGTATTTCTTTTCGTTGTTTGCAGATTGATGTATTGCCTTTGGTGCTGCTATTTTTATTATCTTGCCGTGACTGGCTGCCTTCGTGATGCGAGGGCGGAGAGGGGAGCCAGACGCTCCCCGGGGGCGGGGACTGCCTCAGCCGCCTGCATTTCAACTTGCATGCAGTGATGCATTAATTGCTTTTTCAACGGTTTTGCAGATTCGCCTCAAAACCGAACGGGAAGAAAAGGACTAAAGCCACGCAACTCTAAGCATTTGGTGGCGCTTGCAGGCACTGATTGGTACGGTGGTGGAATGCGATGTTTTAGAAAGAGGCCAATAGCTGAGGCAGCAGCTACCACAGCAGCACTAGACACCAGACAGAACATGAAGAACTGTCGTCTGAATTGTTGGATTACTTAAGTGAATAGTAATAATATATAAAAGGCATTCACTGCGTAAAGATGAGAAAGTCTGAGGTGCAGTTAAAAGCCAGGTTTCAGGACATCTGTTGCTGCGTGTACACCTGAACGCGAACCCAAAATATGTTCTTCATGAGTTTTCTTCCGTCGGGCTTTCTCTCATCTGCTGATTTCAGTGCAAGTTGTACCCTTTTACTTTTGCACGCAAAACGGTTTTTAAAGGCAAATGTGAGCAGCGGAAGAAAGCGTCGCGATGGCTTCTGAAATAGGCATCGCTTTCATGTTTTTCATTCAAACCGGGTTGGCACTGGTGACAGTTCTGGGCGCCTTTTTCTGCATCGTTTATCATTTCTTTTCCCACTCAACATCGGAACCGCATCCCTCGAAATTCCAAAACAACGACTGGGCTCCGCACTGCATGATTCAACCGCCCGCACGAGAAGATCACAGAAAGCCGCAATTGAACAAAACGCGTGGTGATCTCTGCCGCGTTCGTCATGGTGGCGTATCGGGGGAAAAGGTTCGCATGCATTTCCTCTTCTCATTTGAATCTATTTTCCCCTAAATTCCCGCTTTTTAATACCAGAAACGCACCAGCAGCCCCGACCTCTTGCCGAATTGCGGCGAGAGCTACGGCTGCGCCAAAGGGTCTAGAAGGGGTGGAGTAAGCAGCATCTACATGATGCCCTTTTCATTAATTATAATCATTGTTGCATGCAGATTCGAAGACAGTCTGATTCGGGAAGACCGGCTGACAGGCATGTAGGCGCTCCTACATACATGCGAAATCCGTCTCGCGCTGCCCCCCAAGACGTAAGGCTTGCTTGATGAACTCAAACAACAAGGCAGGCTGTATTTCTCTTCTTTGCTATTTGCAGCCACAAGCGGCCTGGGAGCTCCAAAGCGCACTGCAACGTGCAGAGACTAACGGCGAGTTGAGCGATTGGAGGCGCTCAGCTGCTGCAGCAGCAGAAGAAACACAAGCCATCCAAAAAACAAATGCCCCCTCTCACCGAAGGCAGGCTGACTCCTATAGCAACGCTGCCTCTTTCCATGGTAGAGAGCCACACGAGTTGCAGCAGTGCATGCATTTTGATATGCAACAGCTCCCCCACGCAGCCGGTGCATCAACGTGGCAGCCACCCGCCGGCACAGCAACAGCAACTGCAGCAGCAGCAGCGACGCAGTACCCAATCGCTCCCGTATTGCCGCATTTCGGTTTGCGCCACGAGGCTGCTGCAGACCCCCAACCGCAGCAGCAGCACAGCGCAGCTGCTCAGCAGGTGACGAGTTCTTATGCTGCTACTGAGGCCTACCTAGCAGGGGCTCCAGAGTATTCAAACGACTACGAAGCTGCATGCGCTTCAATGATGTGGCAAGCAACGCGCCACGGGCCTGAGCTGCCTGCTGCTGCAGTGTACGCGGCCGGGCCTGGCTGGCATTTGACAGACCCGCAGCAGCAGCAGCAGCACCACCACGGCAGCAACGGGTTGCTGCAAGGAAGCAGCACGCGAGGCGTTGCTCTGCCTCTGCTGCGCACATCACTTCGCAGCTCAGATCCTACCCTGCAAACCGGTAACGCACGTGCGTCCAGTTGCAGCAACAGCACTGCATGCGCCGCACAATCGTGCTGCCAGAAGACCCGCTGCTGCTCAGGGGAGCTCGGCAACTCCCTTGGAGCAGCAGCAGCAGGGCGGGACTCTCAGACGAAAGAGATCGCTCAACTCGTGCGCGTAGCAGACGCAATCGAATCTCTTCTGGGCGCCTCAGCGAAACGCCGAACGACAGAACCCTTCAGCAGCAGCAGCAGCAGCAGCAGCAGCAGCACAGGGGATGCATGCAGCGCGGGTTGTCCTGCTGCAACAGCTGCTGGTGCGGCAGCAGACAGCAGTAAGTTCAATACTTTGCTTAATACCAACAGCGCGTATCACAGAATTTCCACAATGCATAAAGACGTAGGTGAGGGAGGTGCCGGAAGCAGCAACGCAGCACAGCAAGGTGCCCCTAAAGAGCAAGCGTTGTTATGCTCGAAGGCCGAAGCAAAACCCCTTAGCAAGAGCGAAACAGCAACTGAGAAATATCCCCCAGCTAAACGGAATTGGCATGCAGCTGAGGAGGGGTCACAAGAGGCGGAGGAAGGGGATATGAAGAGGCGCAGTGCTGTTGCTGCTGCTGCTGCTGCTGCTTTTCCCATGGAAGCTGCAAAGAAGACGCGGACAAATCTCATGACGAACATTCTCTTGCTGGTGTGCAGGTGAGCCTCCTGGTTTTTTCGCTGCAGGCGCACGCATTCATGCAGGGGAGTACACGAGAGCCTTATAACTTTCTTTCAGCCACCAGAACAAAAGCTACAGAGCAGGCCGACTGCGACTACAAGATTGGTGCAGGCGGCACGCGGGCAGCCTGTCGCCTGATCAGTGCGCCTCCGCTACTGCGAATCACTTGTGTACGTAGAAAAGACGGACTCTTTTTTCTCTCTTTCTCCCTTATCTCCAGCTGGTCTACATGCATGCACAGCGGCCAGGCAGGGAGGCTCTCGTGCAGACTTTGAAGCGACGCTGGAGGCCACCAAACAAATTCGTTCGGTGTTCTGCCCTCAGTGCGTTCTGATCGGCTCAGGAAAAGAATGCAGACAGGCGGCTTATAGCTCATTCTCTGTTTATTTTTCGATTTCTTCTGCTTTATTCTTTGCCTTTTGCGGCTTTATTCTCCGCTTTTTTCTGCTCTAGTCTTTGCTTACTTTCGTTTTATTATTTGCTTTCTTTTGCCTTCCAGCGTCGTTAACTTCTTCGAAGTTCACCTCGTGGGAGACCTCGTGTGCGAGTCGGACTTGGTGAGAATGCGCTGTTCGTTTATTCATGCATATTCAGATTGGACGCAAAACGATTTCAGGCCCTCTTCCCTATTGCCGCGTGGCTCGCAGCTTTCTTTGCTGCCGGTAAGGAGAGGACTTCTGCTTTCTGCTTTCCAAAAATATGGAACTTGCAACAGCTGATGAAGAACCGAGCGAGGCGCGACTGACGAAAGTTGCTGCGGTAATGCGCTGCTAAAAACCGTTCTTGAAGAGATTTAATTCATGATATGGTGTTTCGTTTGGTGTCCAGAACCTTAAAATAGAAGGACAGCTGCTGTTGAAGGTCGCAGTTTGTACGTTTTTCGCAGCGTTCATGAATTCCTCTATTCGAAACGAGAACTGAAACGCCTCGTGCAGGTTTTTCGTCAGCCACGTCAGCACCAGGGTTTACGGATTTGGTAAAGCATTAATTGTATTGAAAATACAGATGAAGAACCATTATTAGCTGGGTTGTTCAGGAATTTAACCGGGTTTTCGCGCAGCTGTCCAACGCTGTAATCCGACGGTGCGCCTGTGCCTGCTTGTTCATGAATAGCCTTTTAAGCGCACCTCCCTCCCACTGATCCACGCACGAACAGATCAACTCGCCTACGAGTGACAAAATCCGAAAATGAAACGGAAAAAGAACAAGGGAAAGAACGGCTTGAGGGCCGGGAGTACGGGTCGTCTTGGCAGCCTCTGTTGGTAAGCTGCATCTTTTTGTTGCTAAATGTTCACATTCGAACAAAAATCATCATTAATATCATTCAGAATGAATTGAGGGAAACGTCCGACCTACAGAAAAATCAACTCGACTCAAGAACTCTAACGAAACGAAAGAGCAGCCGTGCAGACGCTGCACCGGCGGATTCCACAGCGGCAGCTGATTCTACCTTTCGCCCCCCCGCAAGAGAGGAAACAGCATTACCTCTGATCTCTGCAAACACCAACACCAACGAAGAAGCCATGTGCTCAACAACCAGAACAAACACAAGTTTAAAGCCCCTCAGACATATCACAAACGATGAGCCGCCGCCAGTTTCTGAAACAGCGTCTACTGCTGCAAGTGTAGACAACAACCAAGGGCAAGAAAACACGTTAGAGCCTTCCCTTTGTTGCCCCTCAGCTCCGCTTCGGATTAAGCCAGAGGATTCTACAAACACGCGAGCAGGTCAAGTGCAGCAACAGCAGCAGCAGCGGGAGGGAGGAGAGGGGCAGAAACGAAAGCGGAAATCAAATGAATCGACAGGCAACACGGGCTTCTCTTTGCACTTATCCCTACAGAAAGGCGGGCCAAGAGCGGCCCCCTTTGCCTCTGCAGCTCTGAGACCCTCTAGCTCAGCTGCTCCAGCAGCAGCAAATCGCAGTAGCAGCAGCAGCAGCAAAGGTTGCCAGCAGCAACAATGCACGCCGCTGCAACAACGAATCAAGGCGAAGCGCCCAAGTGATAAAACGGAAATCCACGCATTCCCTGGCACTCCTGAGATGCCCTCCGATAGCAGTTCTCTCACGACCTATGTGCAATATACTCATAGAGGAGATGCCGTCTCCTCTTCAGCATCACCGGGGAGCCCAAATAGTGAGAACGTTGGGGGCCCCCAACGCAGCAAACGAAAACCGGCACCGGCGGCTCCACCCAACCGTGGCGGCCCGGAAGACACAAAGAAGCTTAAGGCGAGAAACAAAGGCCTACTCAAAAAGGAGCTCTGAAGTGCATGCACCAGTCCGAAGCAATAAAAGCGAGAGGAAAGAATCAACGGAAAGAGACCGATACCGTGGTTGTCGGCGAGCTACACTGCAGGTGCTTCTACACGCACATTGCTGCTGCTGCTGCTGCAACGGTAGCAGCAACAGGCGGGGAAGCAAAAGAAATAAAACTAGAAATAACAAAAGCCGAGTATTTGATGCTTTTTTGAAAATCCGTCTTTAAATATTTCACTTCGTGTGCGCTTTACGTGCGGGCGCAGCGAAGACAAACTAACCCACGCCAGGCCCACCTATTGAGCTGAGGCTTAGGAGGAGAAGCTGATATTTCATTCATTATTATTAACTAATTCAATTTATCCATTTGCTTAATTCTTTTAATTCTTCTCACGCGCGTACACCTGATAAAGATTTTCGTCTCCCGGTTGACCAGCGCATTGATCCTGTAGTGTACAGGCGCTACAATGCAGCTCCAGTGGAACCTTCATTGGTCAGGCGTCGTTGAAAGAGAACATATATAACACCAATATGCATAAATGTTAATGATTTTGAGGGGAATTTAGGATAACTAAGTGTAGAATGCTCGGCAGCCACACCGGCTTGGGGCTGGCTGGGCATCTGACGGTGCGGCTGAGAGCCTGACTCACAGCAGACTCAAGGGCCAGATCTGTTATTCTTGGATTTCCTTTTTGTAGACTATGAACTGGAATATGTTTTGGGGGTGATTATTTGCTTATTTAAGCGGATTAGCAGAGATTAGCTGGGTCTAGCTAATAGGTGTTCAGTGTGCACCAGGTTGAACCACCTAGGTGACATACGTAGCAGCAGCGAAGTCCGGCTGCTTACTACAGGTCCGCTCGCAGGGTTATGAATATCATGCCGTCGCTCGCGTACAGAACAAACGCGTAAAAGTAGGGTGTGCAGCATTTAAAGAAGTAAATAAGAAAACATTTCTATAACCCAGTTTAAGAATTGCTAGAAGAGAAGAAGAAGCTTGAAGTGCACTCATGGAGCACAACAGGTACTGGCGTGTCCAGCGGCGCTCCACCCGGAGCGGCGGCACGAGTGCTCCATCTCTCCGGCTGGTTTTCGCGTCATTTACTCGGTTCTATTGCACACACTTAGAATTTTAATTCATTCAAGTGCAGCTACGAACAATGTGCAGCGGAAAGGGGCAAAAGACATACAGTGGAGTGCCGCCACGTCCTCACCGATCAGGTCGGGGGGCCCCACGCAGGTGGTTTTGGGGTGGGTGTTTTTAGAGATAAATGGGGAGACAAAACTGGAAAAACGCACAAATTTCAATAAAAACGTTGAAATTTAGTTCCGGTAGTTCATATACTTTTGCTTCTCAGCGACTATAAAGGTGGCACCAGCCACCCGGTCCGGTGCCAGGACCACTGGGGTCTATGAATGCGTGCGACTGCATCGGACGTCAATGTGCAGGCCCTGTACATTAATTTGCATTTTATTTTCTTTCATTTGATCTTTTAAACTCTTTTCTCCCCCTTTTGCTTCTGTAATGCTGGCCGCCTTCCCCTTCCACAGGCTCTCGGGCGCGAGACCGAGACCCCCGACTTGTAGCACAGCAGCCCCCCCTCTTCTTCTGGTTGTTCTTTCATTGCCCCTCTCTATTATTCGTTTCTCATTGCCTTACAAAACCCCAGGGGCAAGTGTTTGTTTACCGGCGTCGCTGCACAAATAAAGCCTTCAACTCGTGTGGTGCGACTGAAGAGCCCCTCTTCTCTTCCTCCAAAAGAAAACAGAGCGAAGGTAATTCATCTTCGCAACTGGAAGCGGCAGATTCAAATACTCTTGTTCTTCTACTGCTATTTTTCTTGCTCCCCTGCTAGCGAGGAAACGGCTTAAAGGGGGTACCCCCCACCAGGCGCTACTGCTGCCGCTGCTGCTGATTCTTCGTCTGCTGCTGCTGCTGCTGCTGCTGTCAGAGAGGCCCCTGCCCCCTATTTCTGCATAATTATGGAAATATCTGCATCTGCCAGGCGCATTACCAGGAGCTCCAAGGGCGGAAGCCTCCCGCCTTTTGGAGAATGCGCATGCTTACCTCTAGGGGCCCCCTTGGGGGCCCCTGGTGCCCCGGGGGCCCCTGGGGGCCCCGGAGAAGCAGGGGCCCCAGGATCCACAGGTCCCACAGGGCCCCCAGGGGCCCCACGGGCCTCAGGGTTCATAGGGGCCCCAGGGCCCTTAGGGGCCCCAGGAGCCCCAGGGCCCCCAGGGGCCTCAGGAGCTCCAGGGGCCCCAGAGTCCACAGGGCCCCCAGGGGCCCCACGGGGCTCAGGGTACACGGGGGCCCCAGGGGCCCCACGGGGCCCCCCTGGCCCCAGCTCAGAAAAGTCTTCGGTGAATGCTGTTCGTCTTCTGACTCGACATGCAGAAGAAGAAGACCGCAGCCCTTTCGTCATCCTTTTAGACAAGTATTTGCCTGTATACGATGAAACCTCACCACAAGCAGCAACAGAAACAAAACAGAAGAAAGGCAGCAGGCTGGTGCAAGCGGAGCAATGCAACAGCGGCAGAAGCAGCAGCAGCATTGGCAGCAACAGCAGCAGAAACAACTGCAGCAACACTAACAGAGGCAACAACAGCAGCAATAGCAGCAGCAAAAGCAACAAAAACAGCAGCAGCAGCAGCAGCTCAATCTTGCACCAGCCGCAAGCAAGAAGATCGGATGAGCAGCAAAGCCGCTGCTCTGCTGAAAAGGTAGAACAGCAGCAGAAGCAGCAGCAGCAGCGACAGCTGCAGCAAGAAGTCCAATCACAACAACAAGAGCCTCAACAGCAGCATCCACAAGAGCAGCAGCAACCGCAAGAACACCAGCAACAGCAGGAGCAGCAACAGAAGGAACAGCAGCAACAAAATGAGCAGCGGCAGGCGGAGCAGCAGCAACAACAGCAACAGCAACAGCAGCATCAACAGCAGCAACAGCAACAGCAGCAGCAACAGCAGCAGCACCAACAACAACAACAGCAACAGCAACAACAGCAACAGCAACAGCAACAGCAACAGCAGCAACAGCAGCAACAGCAACAGCGGCAGCAGCAACAGCAACAGCAACAGCAGCAACAGCAACAGCAGCAACAGCAACAGCAGCAACAGCAACAGCAGCAACAGCAACAGCAGGAGCAGCAGCAGGAACAGCAACAGCAGCAGGACCAGAAGCAGCAGCAGGAGCAGACACAGCAGCAGGAGCAGCAGCAACACCAGGAACAGCAGCAAGACCAGGAGCAGCAGCAGCGGCAGGAGCAGCAGCAGCAGCAGCAGGAGCAGCAGCAACAGCAACAGCAGCAGCAGCAGCAGCAGCAGGACTGTGAGAGGCAGCCGTTGCGAAGGCAATCGACTGTGGAGAAGAAGCGTCTTAAAGATATGCGGGCTCAAATGAAGGCAATTTTCAAGTAAGGAGACCACCAGCAGCAGCAACAGCAGCAGCAGCAGCAGCAACAGCAGCATCAGAAGCACCAACACCGTCAGCAGCAACACCATCAGCAGCAGCAGCAGCACCATCAGCACCAGCACCAACACCATCAGCAGCAACAGCACCAGCAACACTAGCAGCAGCACCACCAGCACCAGCAGCAGCAGCAGCACCACCACCACCACCAGCAGGAAGAGGAGCAGGATAAGGCGTGCATATAAATTTATAAATAGTTTGTGTTTGCTGCTGCAGAGAGCTGGCGAGAGAAACAGAGGGGGGGGTCTGCAGGCTTTGGTCGCTGGGTTGGGTTGACCGGTCGACTTTGCTGGGTTTTCTTTCTAATGCCCCCGGGTTGTTAGGAGAGAGATTGTTTGAATTGTTTGATGCAAACAGAGATAATAAAATCTCCTTCGATGAATTCCTTAGAGGCCTTCAAAAGGCCTATGCACCCGATGCAGACACACAAATGAAATTCCTATTCAACTTGTAAGATACACATGCACAACACCTACCCAGCTAGCTAGCTAGCTAGCTAGCTATATAGATAGCTAGCTATATAGATAGATAGCTAGGTAGATAGGAGCTAGGTAGACAGATAGCTAGCTTGATAGATAGATAGATAGATAGATAGATAGCTACCGGGTTGAAGGGGTGCAGAACTAGCTAGCTAGCTAACCGCCTACCTAGCTAGATACCTCTCTCTCCATTTTGCCCGCTATCTGCGTTGCTAGCTAGCCAGCCAACTTTCTATCCATCTAGCTAGCTAGCTGAGTGGCTAGCTATCTACTTAGCTAGCTATCGTGGATGCCGAGTTGACTAGACAGCCCGATACAGCTAATAATCGTACAGGCATAGACACTAAGGTCCTGCCGGGTGGTGCTGCTGCTGCCGCTGTTGCTGCTGCTGTTGCTGTTGCAGCTAGCTGCAGCAGCGGCTGATGCAGAGGGAGGGTTTGCATGCTGCTGCGCCTGGCGTTTCTCCTGCTGCTGCCAGCGCTTTCTGCCCTGGCTTGCCGTCCTCACTGGTGCTGTTGCTGCTGCGTTTTCTGCTGCTGCTTGTGCTGCTGCTGCTGTTCCTGCTGCGTTTTCAGGTACGACTTAGACGGGAACGGGTTTATTGAGAGGCCGGAGTTATTCGCATTGCTGTACAATTTGCCTGCGCATTTGTGGCTAGCAGCTCCTGCTACTTCTCCCAGGTGTATAGGCAGCAGCAGTCCTTCACCCTCAGGTGTATGTGCATCTCCCCCCACGGGTGAATGCAGCTTTGCTGCTGCAGCGCCTCCAGTAAAAATGACCGACGCAGAGAAAAGAGAGAGAGTGCAGCAGATCGTAGACCTCGTCTTCGCAGCCAAAGAAGAATTCCAACGCCAGCAGCAGCAGCAGCAGCAGGAGCAGCAGGAGCAGCAGGGGCAGCAGCAGCAGGAGCAGCAGCAGCAGCAACAACAGCAGCAGCCAGTTGCCTTGAGGCAGCGCCGTCGACGGAGCGATGTCTTTGTAAGGAGTCTTCTGAGTCCTAGACATTCTCTTAATAGGAAGACAGCACCACCATCACCAGCAGCAGCAGCAGCTGCAGCAGCAGCAGCAGCAGCATCTGCTGCTGATGCTGCTTGTGCTTCAGAAGCAACAGCAGCAAAGCACGGCCTCACGTTTGACGACTTTGTGCGAGTCTCTTCCTCTGTGCCGGAGTTAACAACAGTGCGTCTAGGAGACAGTTTGCTTTTCCTGCTCCGTCCCTGCTGCTGCTGCTGCTGCTGCTGTTGCTGCTGCTGCCACTGCTGCTGCTGCTGCTGCTGCTAACTTGCCTCACGCAGCTCCTATGGGGGCCCCGTTCATCAGTGTGTTTCTATATTTGAGGAAGGGGAGGTTCTCTACTACTGCCGCTGCTGCTGTTGCTTGCTGCTGCTGCTGCTGCTGTTGCTGTTGCTGTTGCTGCAGCTGCTGCAGCTGTTTGACAATCATGCCTTTCGTCCGCTGCTGGCGCACTACAAGGGCCTGGGGGGCAGTCCTACGGTTTCTTCTCCAACACCCTGTACGACAGTCGCCCGCTGCTGCTACGCCTGCTGCTGCTATGCTTGCTGTTGCTACGCCTGCTGCTGCTACTGCTCCTGCTGAGGCTGCTGCTGCTGCTGCTGATTGCTGTTGCCTGCTACTGCCCGCTGCTGCGGCCTGTGTCTCTCTTCTGGCGCTCGAAGGGGGTTCTGGGGGCCTATGCTGCTGCTTGCTGCTGCTTCTGCTGCACGCTGCTGCTGCTTTCTGGTCGTTTGCTGCTGCTTTTGCTGCTTGATGCTGCTGCTCGCTGATACAGTTGCTGCATGCTGCCAGATACTGCTGGTCGCTGCTGCTGCATCTGCTGCTGCTTCTGCAACCTGATACCTCTGCTTGCTGCTGCTTCCTCGTTAACAAAGAAGATAATACTAGAGATGTGCGGATGTAGCCCTGCGGCTGCTGCTGCTGCTGCTGCATTTGCTGATGCTGCTGCTGCTGCCGTTCCTACTGCTATCCTCAGCGGAAGACGCCGGTGGTGTTTCGCCTAGGCCTGGCAGCAGCGGCAGCAGCAGCAGCAGCAAAAATGCACGGGTAAGAGAAAGCGGCTCACACGGAATAGAAGTAGCAACCTTGTTGCGGTGCCGCTGCATCTGCTGCTGCTGCCGCTGCTGGTGCTGCTGCTTCATCCTCTGGTGCTGCGGCTGCTGCTGCTGTGTTACTGCTTCCGCTGCCTCTACAGAGCCCCCTTTCTCCTTCTTCTGGTGCTGCATCTCCTGCTGCTTTACCGTCCACAGGCGGCAGAAGCGGCGGAGAGAGTCGCAGTGTGAGCCGCAGCAGCAGCAATGGCAGCAGCAGCAGTAGCAGCAGCAGCAGCAGCAGCAGCAGAGCCAACGCCGATGTCCCCTGTGGGGTGGCGGCTACAGTACGGGGGCAGCAGCTGCTGCACCCGTCTTCTGCACAAAAGAGACCAACAGCAGCATCAACAGCAACAGCAACAGCAACAACAACATTAGCAGCAGCAGCAGCAGCTGCAACACCAGCAACAACAGGGGACTCCCGCTCCGCCTCGCCGGGTTTCAGTGTAAAAGGCTGTCTCTCTCCGAGCAGCAGTATCAGCATCAGCAGCAGCAGCAGCAGCAGTAGCAGCAGCAGCAGCAGCAGCATTGGAGGCCCCTCTGCCAACAGCAACTTCGGCAGCGGCAACGAGAGAAGCTGCTCCACCAGCAGTTCCCCTCCAGCACTTTGCAGCAACACCGGCAGCAGAGCATCTGCTGCTCCTGCTGCTGCTGCTGCTGCTGCTGCAGCTGCTGCAGCTGCTTCCTCTTCAGCTGCTGCAGCTGCTTCTATTCTTTCAAGCTGCTCCCCTTGTTCGGGTTGGCTGTGGAAACGTAAACCTTCGTTCCTAAACCCTAAACCCTAACCCTAAACTCTAAACCCTAATCCCTCAACCTAAACACTAGATGCTAAACCCTTAACTCTAAGCCCTAAACCCTAAACCCTAAACCCTCGGTGTGTTTCTTGCAGAGGGCCGCCACTTCAACCTTTGGACAAAAAGATATTTTGTGCTCAAAGAGCGCGTCCTCTACTGTAAACCCTAAACCCTAAACCCTAAACCCTAAACCCTGTATTCTAAGGACTCCAAACCCTAAACCCTAGGCTCTAAACTCTTACCCCTAGCCCTGTGGATATACACCCGTATCTACGAGCCCGTGATGCAAGCCTAGAACCAAAACAACAACGGCGACGAGAGCTTCATTTTGAAGGGTTTAGGGTTTAGGGTTTAGGGTTTAGGGTTTAGGGTTTGCTTTCTTCAGCTTTTCGGTCGCCTACCCATGACAGCTCTACCAGCACAATCCTTCTGCGAGATTGTGTGGCTTCTGCGCTTAGTCAGTGTCTCTCTAATAACACCTAAACCCTAAACCCTAAACCCTAAACCCTAATCGAGCTCTGAATACAGATCTGAGTGTCTATGGACCTCAGGGTCCGCTCCTTTAGACGCTCAATGCGGTCTCACGTTTGGGTTCGACCCGAAGTGTTTAGGGTTTACGGTTTAGGGTTTAGGGTTTGTGAACAGGAAGTCCAACGCCCCGTGGGCTCCGCACCACCAACAAGCCTGGGAGCGTTTTGTTCGGTTTTGCAATTAAAAGCAGCGACGGAAGAACTATTAAAACCCTTTATGCTGAAGATGCAGAAGACAGGCAACGGTTAGATTGTAGGGTTTAGGGTTTAGGGTTTAGGGTATCAGGGGAGTCGGCTGATGAGCCACCTCCCCAACCCTTAAGAAC